TATTCATTAGCAGATACTTTTTTTTTTTTTGAGACAGTCTTGCTTTGTTGCCCAGGCTAGAGTGAGTGCCGTGGCGTCAGCCTAGCTCACAGCAACCTCAAACTCCTGGGCTCAAGCAATCCTCCTGCCTCAGCCTCCTGAGTAGCTGGGACTACAGGCATGCACCACCATGCCCGGCTAATTTTTCTATATATATTAGTTGGCCAATTAATTTCTTTCTATTTATAGTAGAGACAGGTCTCGTTCTTGCTCAGGCTGGTTTCGAACTCCTGACCTCGAGCAGTCCGCCCGCCTCGGCCTCCCAGAGTGCTAGGATTACAGGCGTGAACCACCGTGCCCTGCCAGCAGATACTTTCTGTTTCTCTCTTCCCCCAGCCCCGGGTAACCATGCATCTACTTTCTGTCTATGGATTTGCTTCTTCCGGACATTTCAATATCATGGAATCATAATATGTGGCCTTTTTGTCTGGCTTCTTTCACTTAGCATAGTGTTTTCAAGGTTCATGTGCTGTAGCATGTGCCAAGACTTTATTCTTTTTTGAGACAGAGTCTTGCTCGGTTACCCCAGTTAGAGTACAGTATTGTCATTGTACTTCACTGCAAACTCCAATTCCTGGGCTCAAGCAATCCTCCTGCCTTAGCCTCCCAAGTTGCTGGGACTACAGACATGCATCACCACGCCCAGCTAATTTTTCTATATTTTGCAGAGATGGAATCTCATGATGTTGCTGCTCAGGCTGGTCTTGAACTCTTGACCTCAAGTGATCCTCCCACCTTGGCCTGCCACAGTGCTAGGACTACAGGCATGGCCTGTGTTTTTCCCTGTTAAAGCGCCACTGCCCTCCAATACCCCCAACTTCCAATCCTCCTGACTTGCTCTGCTCTGTTTTTCCACAAGCAGCCCCCAGCCTAGCAGGCTGCAGTTTATTTCCTATTGTCTATCGTCATCTCCCAGCCCACCCGAGGCATCAGCTCCCGTGAGGTAGAGATTATTGTCTTTTTGCTCCCACTGCTATGTTCTAGTACCTCAAACAGGTCCTGGCAATGCCAGTATACTGCTCAGTAAATGTTGAATGAAAATGGATGGGAAAGGAATTTGAGATTACAGTGCTGCTCATTTTTGCCTAAATAACATGAGGAGATCTAAACAGTTCCTCCTAGACACAGGCCGCGGCATGTTCGCGAAGGAACATCTGTGAGGAAGGAGGCTTCATTCAATCACAGGTTCCCTCTTTACCTGTTATGCTGTCCCCTCTCCGTACTGTGAAGGCAGGGACATTCATCCCCATCAATGTTCACCTCTGTATCACCAAGAATTTTACACGGTATCTGGCCCACAGCAGACCTCCAGTAAAGATCAGATGAATAAATGAATGAAGGTATCTGAATCATGGGGGCTCCATCCCCCTAAACACTGTGACCCCTGGGGTGTGTCCACCTTGCGGTCTAGGTACTCTCAAACACCAGTGCTGGTGATTATAAAATTAGTAATAAACCCACAGGCAACATCCCACCTACCTAAGGATTGGTTTCTCAGCTGTCATACCAAAATGACAAAGGCTTTTAAACATTTGTCGTGGCAA